TTGTTTGGGATAATTTTTGTTGATTTTGGGGCTGTTTTGGGGTTTATTTTGGGCCATTGTTTTGGGGTGACTTCGGTTGATTTTTGGGTCATTTTTAAATTTCTCGGGGCCGTTTTTCCCGGTTTTTTTAGGTTTCCCAGCGGATTCCGGAATTCCGGATTAATTCCGGGTTCCGGGGCTCTCCTCACTCTGCTTCCGGACCAGCTGCAGCCCCAGGACGTTTTTGGGGGGCGCGGATTTGGGGGTCCCCCCCCGCTGCTCCCTCCGGAGCGCCGCCTCCAGCTCCCGCTCCAGCGGCTCCAGGTGCGCCTCGCTCGCTCCTGCCGGGAAAAATTCCCAAAATTCCCCGTGGTGGTGTCCCAACATCTGCCCAGAAACACGGAATTCCCAAAATTCACCAAAAATCCCCCAAATTCACCAAAAATTCCCAAAATTCCCCATGCTGGCATCCCAAAATCTGCCCAGAAACACGGAATTCCCAAAATTCCCCAAAAATCCCCCAAATTCCCCAAAAATCCCCCAAATTCCCCAAAAATTCCCAAAATTCCCCATGCTGGCATCCCAAAATCTGCCCAGAAACACGGAATTCCCAAAATTCACCAAAAATCCCCCAAATTCCCCAAAAATCCCCCGTGCTCGCATCCCAAAATCTGCCCAGAAACACGGAATTCCCAAAATTCCCCAAAAATTCCCCAAATTCCCCAAAAATTCCCAAAATTCCCCATGCTGGCATCCCAACATCTGCCCAGAAACCCGGAATTCCCAAAATTCCTCAAAAATCCCCGAATTCCCCAAAAATCCCCGTGCTCGCATCCCAAAATCTGCCCAGAAACACAGAATTCCCAAAATTCCTCAAAAATCCCCGAAATTCCCCAAAAATTCCCCATGCTCAAATCCCAAAATCTGCCCAGAAACACGGAATTCCCAAAATTCACCAAAAATCCCCCAAATTCCCCAAAAATTCCCAAAATTCCCCATGCTGGCATCCCAAAATCTGCCCAGAAACACGGAATTCCCAAAATTCCCCAAAAATCCCCGAAATTCCCCAAAAATCCCCGTGCTCGCATCCCAAAATCTGCCCAGAAACCCGGAATTCCCAAAATTCCTCAAAAATCCCCAAAATTCCCCCAAAATTCCCCATGCTCAAATCCCAAAATCTGACCAGAAACCCCCGAATTCCCAAAATTCCCCAAAAATTCCCCAAATTCACCAAAAATCCCCCAAATTCCCCAAAAATCCCCGTGCTCAAATCCCAACATCTGACCAGAAACCCCCAGATTTCCAAAATTCCCCAACAATTCCCAAAATTCCCCGTGCTCA